AACAGCAGTGTGACAGCAGGCAGGAGAGTATTAGTGTTTGAGGCAGACCTGCACAGGACACTGGATCCTCTGTAAGACTGGGAAAACAGCAGCTGGCCAAAAAATCTGAGATTCCTGGGGCTAAGAAAGAATATTAAAGGAAACAATGCAGTCGTGTTCTTTTGAAAATGGACCCCCGAAACCCTCCGTATGCAAATAAAGGGGGATAAAATTAATCTGGAACATTGCCTCTGAATGAGACCCAGACGCAGACCTGGAGAAAGGAGAGTGCCTGAACCCAGGCATTGAGGAATAGACCCATCAACTTACTAAATGTCAATATGAAAGTGCTAAGTAAAATACTGGCAGCACGTTTAGCCCAGGTGTGTTTCATTTTTAACATGCTTTCTTCTCCTTAGTATGTGACTGTCTCTTAAAGACACTTTTTTCATAGAATAGCGACTATAATAAGGAGAGGAATCCTAGTCATACCTTCGTAAGATGGCATACACCCATATACTTTCTAACCACTTATTCCAGTTCAGGGTTGCTGGGGAGCCAGAACGTGTCTTGGGAAGCAATGCGTGCAAAACAGGAAACCCCCTGGGGTCCATCACAGGGCACACAGACAGAAACACAATCTCACACCAGCGCCAATTTTCCCGCGAGCCAATTAACGTACCAATGTGTCTTTGGATTGTGGGAGGAAACCAGAGCACCCAGGGGAAACCCATGTAAAGATAGCAACTCAGGTCCAGAATTGAAGCCAGGGCCCCAGGACTGCAAGGCAGCCATGCTTACCACCGGACCACTGCGCTCTTCTAGACTTCAAGACTTCAAGACATGTTAAGCAACTTGAATCTTCTTCGCCTGGATCAGAGACAAGGTGACAAGGACTGGGGGACTCAAGCAAAAAGCAGTTAAGGAGCATTCATAATAAAAACTAGAAAGACATTCTTACCCAGGGTCTGCAGCAAACTTCCATCTTTACCAGTGAATCTGTGGCATCAAAATAGGGCTAACTGAATCATTAAGGACCAAAAGAGTCCATTAGTCAAATGAGTAAGACAAGCTAAATGACATCTTGCTGTATGTAGGATTGCCTGTGTTTTTTGAGGATTCTTTGTTGAGGATATCTCTCACTTCAGCCTACAGATTCTTTAGAGCTCAGTGCAACATTGAAAAGCTGCAGCAGGCAACTGTGAAAAAAACAGAATAAAGCAGAGAACAAGAGTAATATGATTATTTTTGTACCATTGTCAGTTTTGAATTAAACCAATTTTGTATTGAAGTACTTCAGTTGCTCCTGGGGAAAAAGTAAAAGCAATTAAATTACTGTCATCAAATTGTCGTGCTCCTGCCATGTCACCACCTGCTGTGCTTTGGAAAGCAGCTGCGTGAAATATTGAACAGAGAGCAGCAAAAACTCTGGAATACAAGCTCACAGCCACAAGTGAGATTATTGATCAGTCATATTCTGCTATACCATTAAGTACAATAAATGCTCTTAAATCAAAAAAGAAGAATGATTTTAAATTACATTTTTCCATGGGTTTTATATACTGTATGGGTAAAACTCCTGTTTCTTACAGTTTGAAAATTACCAACATGAAAACTGAAAAGATTTAAATTACCTGTGTAAAGGTTCATTGTAGTCTGAGAATTGATGCTATATTGTACATAGAGAATAAACTGTATGGAGAGATGTTAATACTTAATGGGAGGTCTGTGTTAATCAAATGTTCTGTCTTTCCTGTGGTTGAAGAATCAGAAGGTATGATTTTTTTCTCTTGCCTGCGAGAAGATAGTTTTGCCAAGGACTTTGTGTCCCAAAACATGTACCTGCAGCTGTGGGACCTGCCAGGTGTCAGGAAGAGGTCAAAGTTGAGAAAAAGCAGCAGAACTTGCAAGATAATTAGGAAGATGAAAGAAAATTTACTTAATATGCATTCATAATTGTGTTCTGTTAAGCTGTAATTAGATACTATGCCATACTTTTTTTAACTTTGAAGTATGAAGTTATTCTCTAATGAGAATATCTTTGTCAACTAATTTGAGAAAAGCCTACGAATCATTAGAGTGTTCATTGTTTTCCTTAAT